ATATATTATATATATATCATTGATTCTCCTTACGGTCTTCGTAGAGGATTAAAGCATCGGTTGATGATGCCCAAGACGAACCCAAGAGCTTCTTCTTCAGAGGTGTGGGTAAGTTCCTTTATCTCCAATGGAATTAACCGGGGATGTCACGGATCATTGACGGAGTAATAATTTTGATGTGCTAAATAAATAAGTTCTATATAAATTTAAAGATTTGGATATTAGATTGGTAACTACATGAGTATTAAGTGGTCCGTTTGTAAATATCTTTAAGATTAAAAAGAGGGTGAAGAATAAATGTCATTGCATGAACTCAAAATCACAGTGCACAAAAATTGGATTATACTCAACCAAGGTAAACTGTCAATTCAATAGAGTGCAAGAAAAACACCACGAAAATAAAAATTAACTTAAATGGCATTGACAATTCATCTCCGGTGAGGATAATTTAGATGATGAACCCTGAATAAAGTGAAAGGAGCTTAAACTAAATGCATTCATACAAAGTGGTACGACAGCATAAATTAAAAACGCCACACATCGAAGTGGTAAAGAATTAATTTTACAACAAAAATGAAAATGTGCCTCCCTACAGTATACTCCCAAGCACAGATGCATCTTGTATTATTAGGAAGACAAGGCAACAAAAGGAATATTCATAAAACCCCAAAGAAAATCTTAAAAGTCACAAATCCAGATACCTGAGAGTGGGGATTGACCCATTCCCCATTAACCCAATCTAAATGAGGCCTTAGCTCCGACGGCAGGAACTCCATAGCGTCGCCGGTGATAGGGAAGCTGATGCTATACTTCGGCCTCCTGACGCTCCCCAACAAACAAGATACAACGCCTTCCCACCATCCATCGTTGCAAAAAGCATCGACGTGCTGATGCACGGTGAATGCCCCATCGCGCGCCCAAACAGGCCGGGGGCGAACCTGGGCAGCATCGACGGTCTCCCTGAGATGCTTGGAGGTGTCAGCTTCCTCAACGATGGAGTCGTAGACCACGGTGTAGCGGTTGAGCCTTGGCAATGAGCGGACGACCTTGGCCTCGTACAACGCGCCATGGAAACCCTCATCTTTGGAGCACACCTCCACTAAATCACCGGTTTTGAAGTCCATCGCCGAAAAGCAATGGTTGTTGGTTGATGGGTTCAATCTCCTCTGGGTCCGCCGGAAATCAGGGTTTAGGGTTTGGGATCACCGATTGGGCGGGAAGTGTAGGGAGTTTCCCGGAGTACGATTAGCAGTTAGCTCGAAATGGGAAGTGGAAGTGAGGACTCCTGATAACCCGAATAATTTTGAAGTAATCTTAAAATATGCACTTCACTTTATTAAACCGAAACATCTTCGATTATTTCGGATTTATTTTTGAGTTATTTCAATATTATTAAAAAGAAACTTATATATTTCACTTCAATAACCCACAAATAATCCTGAAATAATCTCATGATATTATTTCAAGATTATTAAAGTGAAACCGCGGAGGTTATTTTGGGGTTATTGAAGTAAAATATAAAGGCTCCCCTTTAATAATCACGAAATAACCCCGAAATAACTAAAAAATAACCTCTGCGACTTCACTTCAATAACCCCGAAATAACCTCCACGGTGCAGCACACGCGACGACATATTATTGGAGTCCGCACGTAGAGCCACGTCAAGAGTCCGGACATAAAATTTTTCATATAGGGGTGTGTGTCACTTCCAATCCGAATGTCTATTTTTTTACTTAAACAAAAAAATTATTTTAAATATTATTTTATTTTTTGGGGTTTTAAACTAAAGAGTTCTCTAAACACACTGTTCTATTTCCTTATTTGTATTTTTTTATTTTAATTATTTTGCACAATGAAAAAGGAATTCATGAAAAATAAATCTATCTATTTTTTTTTTTTTTTACGTCTTATTAATACAAATTGAAATTGCTGGATGTCATAAATCTAATTTTAGATCTTAAAATAAATAAATCTCACTGAATTATATAAAATTCCTGATTTGAGGCTAAGCAACATTATTTTTCCTAAAACAAGATAAGAAAGGTGAAGATAAAGTGATGTTTAATTTCTCAATGTACAAACTAAATTTTGGTTGTCCACCCAAGATATATGGGTGAATTATGTATAAATCTTACTAATATTGAGAAAAAAAAAAGTGAGAAAAGATTAAAAGGTAGAGAAAAATATAAGTAAATACATAGCTATAGAAAATACAACTATAAAGACTTATCTTCAATAATAAGGAGAAAGAGTCAAAAGGGTGAGATAGACGAAATAAATAGAGAAAGAGAACGTTTAGAAGAAGAGAGAGTTCAAAGAATACAAATCACTGAAAGATTACAAAATTTTCCTTTAACTTTCTTTAATATTTTCTATTTAAATGAGAATTGAAGATCTAGAGCACTAAAATAAAATTTTTATATTAAGTATTATTGCGCGTAAAAAAAATTTATGATGATAGAGTGATGATTTAATACTTTAGTGTTACACGAAGATCCAACCCACACATGCATAAAAGAAAATTTGCAATAGAAGACACCACTATTTTTACGTGAAAAAACTCAAGAAGGAAAAAAAAAATTACATGGCCTAGTCCAGTTAAAATACTTTATTGTGTAATTGTAACTATATAGGTTCACTCTTCTAATTAATTAGAGAAAAGAGAATTATAAAACTGATAATCATATATGTGTAATAGCAATGTAGCTATAATAGTCATAATTGAGCTACAACAAATGTAGTTCTTGACTATAATAATAATAATAATTGGTCACAAAAGCTTAGACGATAGTTGTAATAGTAGTAATTAGCTATAGAAGTCGTAGTTGGAAGTTGTAATAAAAACAATTGGACGCAAATGGTGTAGTTGATTGTTGCATAAATGTTGTAGTCAGTGGTTGCAATAGCAAGAGTTGGCTATAGAGGTCGTAGTTAAAAGCTATGTAGTAGCAATCGATCATAAAGATCATATTTTGTTGCTACAAAAGCAATGGTTGGCCATGAAGTTTATAATCAATGGTCATAATAACAATCGTTAGCTATAGAGGGCGAGTTGGAAACTGTATCA